AGAGGGGTACCTTTATGGTCTCTAACAAAAAGTCCATTGAAGTTATCCCCATCCTCCCCTCATCGGGTAATTGGGCTGGAAAGTCTGAGTGGTGATAGCTTCATAAATACTAAAATCTGTAAAAAAATTAACCAATTTTTCAAGTCAATACTAAAAATTTAGGCCAAAACCTCTTGCTCAAAACTCTGCAAAGTCCAGACTCCTTTAGTGTAATAAAATCTAACGATGGCTTACAAATTTAATAAAATGTGGGTCATCCTAGCTCTGAAATATTTCTGAAGAAGCAATATTGCATTGGAAGCACTTGTGTCATGGTCACCACCTGCAAATGCTCACAGGGACAAAGGGAAAGCCAAACGTGGAGGTGCCGGAACAAAGATGGACTTCTCCCTGGCGGCATAATAGTGGTGTTAGAGAATGATTAGTCTTATTAATGGGAAGGGAAAGGAAGGCTATATGGGTAATTAGGACTCAAGTGCTCTTCTCTGTGAGAGCAAATAAAACTCTTCCTGCAGCTAGAGTTGTATATATAATGAGCATGAAAAATGAAATACCGGTATGAGAGACAAGAGGAAAAACACAACTCAGGTGAAGCAGCCTCACCATGTGCTATTAAAAGATTTCATCTCAACCTTGTCAGCAGACGGGATTACACTGGATTCTAGCATGTGCCAGATATAATGTGAATGTGGGTGTAGCTAATTTAGGGTACCAGAAAAACGCAAAATTCTGAAGAAAATGGATAATGGTTGAAACTCCTACACACTATTCCTCAAAGTCTATCAGACCTTTCATTGGCTCCAGCCTTAAGCAAGAGTTTTAACCAATTCCAAAGCACATCCCCCAAAACCTACCTCATTAGGGTCATCATGAGGATTATGGGAAATAATGCATACAAAAAGGTTAGCCCAACATTTGACACATATTAGCCACTCCCTAAATATTCCTTCTAATCATCAGAGGGGCAGTTATAGTAAAGAGTATTTTCCCAACTTATTTGGTCTTTTCTGCCCCAGAGCATTTAGGATTGCATAGAACGTGAGCAATGTCCTAAAGTACACTCATACTAGCCAAACTCTACCACAATCACTGTTTGGAGCCTATTATTTGAAGAGATAAAAATATTCCTTGGCAGTATTTAAGAGATATTTGGGAGTAACTGGGAGACAAAGAAGAAAAAGCTTGTTGCTGTTGTTGTATCGGACAATGAAGAGTAACTACCACACAAAGTATATTAGAACAATATCTCTACAAGTTTCTTACTTACGCCCCAAGAATGCCATCAGCTTCAATGAAGCACAGTTAATAAGGACCATTATAGTTTTCTGTAAATATCAAACATAGTTCTGCTTCCTTTTAAACTTGGCACTCTAAAGCTCTTCACTAGACAATGGGGTTTATAGAAAGATTTTCTGTATCTGCTCTATTATTTACCTCTTTTGGTTCAGTATTTTGTACTTAACATTTGCTTTATGACTAATGTTGAGTATATTAGTGTGTATTACAATTAGGGGTTCTCAGTGGCTTTAAAAAATTCCTAGTAAATATATAAAAACAAAGAGTCTTTTCATAGAATATGTGTTTGACAGTTAACAAGTTGAGTTATGGAGAGAAGACACAACTAAGGCCAACTGCAATTATGATTAGAGCCCTCTAGGTTGTAGCACTCATTGGATATTCTGTTTAAAAAAATAAATAAATAAATAGAAAGCCACTTCTGCTAAAGAATATGTATTCTTTCCCCTTCTTGTAAACTTCCTAGCGATGGTGGTAGATTAAATGGCAAAACCTTAGTGGTAACCTGTTTCCATTTCAGCCAGACTAACTCGTTTCATTATATACTAGAGGCCTGATGCATCGATTCATGCACATGGAAAGGAAATTAATTAGAAGAAATATTTTAGAGGCCAGGAGAGGACTGCAGGAAAGATTGACCTGTCAGGGAGAGATCATGGGAGGTCTCCAGGGTACGTCCAGCCTGTCTCGGCCAGATCCCAGCGGCAAGCTAACCTACCGGTTGAAGCATCTGCCCCTAGTGGTCAATGCACGTCATAGTGACTGGTCAAACAGTCGGATACTTAGTATATTAGAATTTTATTATATGGACTGTTACTGTGGCATTAAAAAGACATTTGCTGGATTCTTTGGGCAACTTAAGAGCTAAAAGCAAGAAAAAGCAACCAATGGTATGGCTGATAATATTGGTCAATAAATGCTTTTTCCCCTTCTCTTTTTCTCATTCCTTTTCCACTACTTCTCTATTCATACTACATTTCCATCTCAATTTCTCTTCCATATTCTTTTTCTTTTGACCACGCCACATCCATGAAGTCAAATGAAACCCAGAGGCACTTCTTGTTATCACACAGAACCAAAGGCATAGAATTTGGAGGAACTTCATTCCATGACATTCTTTAGTTTTTGTTGTAGTGATCAGTGTTTAGCAATTAAAAAAAGAAGGAATATTTCTAGAAACTTAGCTGTTATGTCTCCAGACATTGTCAAATGTCCCTGGGAAGGTTGTATCACTGAGCTGAGAACTACTGTTAACCTATCAAATTGTCCCAACCCATTTCTTCTTATTAATCCCTTCAACCTAGGACCCAACCTCTCTTCTGTTTAAAAACCTCTAATTCCTTTAAACTTGCCATTCAGGATCTTTATTTCATACCCTCTTGGCACTAATTAAAATCACCGCAGTATTAGTGGAATGTTTTTAACAGCATTGCTTAGCACCAGAACCTACACTATAGACTCCCAAATTATTTACAACACAATGTCCAATAGAAATTTAATGTAAGCCATATTATGTAATCTCACATAATGTAATATTATTGGGTAACAAGAAAAAATGTAGATGTCCCTGAGCATGGCAATAGCTTTTTAGAGGCAAGATCCATGAAAAAAAAAAAAAAAATTACGGTAGACATTTCATTAAAATTAAAAATTTTGCTCTGTGAAAGACAATGTCAAGAGAATGAGAAGAGAAGCAAAAAACTGAGAGAAAATATATGCAAAAGGCACATTTTATACAGGACTGTTTCCCAAAACATATAAAAACTCAAAAATAAAAAATAAAAAATAAAAACCAACCTGATTTTAAAAATGAGCCAAAGACCTCAACAGACACATCAGAAAAAATACACAGATGACAAATAAGCACATGAAAAGATGCTCCACACCATATGTCATCAGGGAAATGAAAATTAAACCGACACCTAGTAGAATGGCCAAAATCCAGAACGCCGACAATGCCAAAGAGTGGCCGGATGTGGAGCAGCAAGAACTCTCATTCACCCGAAACCGGTTTGGCTCAGTGGATAGAGCGTCAGCCTGCAGACTGAAGAGTCCCCGGTTCGATTCCGGTCAAGGGCATGTACCTTGGTTTCGGGCACATCCCAGTAGGGGGTGTGCAAGAGGCAGCTGGTCGATGTTTCTCTCTCATCGATGTTTCTAACTTTCTATCCCTCTCCCTTCCTCTCTGAAAAAATCAATAAAAATGTATTTAAAAAAAAACAAAAACTCTCATTCATTGCTGATAGGGATACATAATGGTACTGCTACTTTTGGAAGACAGGTTGTAATTTCTTACAAAACTAAACCTACTCTACCATACAATGTAGCAATCATAATGTTTATCTAAAGCAGCTGAAAACTAATTCCACACAAAAATTTGCATACCAATATTCATAGCAACTTTATTCATAACTGCCAAAACCAGGAAGCAACCAATATGTTTCTTTAATGAATAAACTGATACATTCAGACAATGGAATATTATTCAGTGCTTAAAAAAAAAAAAAGGGGGGGGGAAAGCCATAAAAATATATGAAGGAACATTAAGTGCCTATCAGTAAGTTAAAGAAGTCAATCTGAAAAGACTATATACTGTATGATTCCAACAATATGTCATTCTAGAAAAGGCAAAACTCTGGAGGCAGTAAAAAGATTGGTGGTTGCAAGTGCTTAATGGTAGCAGGGGAAAAGGATGAATAGGTGGAACACAGAAAACTTTTAGAGCAGTGAAATAGTCTGTATGATATGATAATGGTGAATACATGTCATTATACATCTGTCCAAACCCATAGACTGTACACCACCAAGAGTAAACCCTAATGTAGACTATGGACTTTGAGTGATTATAATGTGTCAATATAGGTTCATCAATTATAACAAATGTACCACTTTAATGGAGGATATTAATAACAAGAGAGACTCTGTATGTGGAGGTGTAGGGGTATGAGAAATCTCTGTTCGTTCCTTTCAGTTTTGCTCTGAACCTAAAAAACAGTTTTAAAAAGTCATAATAAAGAGGAGGAGGAGAGAAGTGCTAAATCTGATAGGATTAAGAGCAAACTTGTTTACAGTAAGCCAAACCATACACAGAACATTCTTGCACCACTCACAGATGGGGATTTGTTCTGAGAAACGCATCCTTAAGTGATTTCATCACTGTGCAAATATCATAGAGAACATGCACATACACACGTAGATGGTATAACCTACTACATAACTCGGCTACATGGTATAGCCTGTTGCTCCCAAGCTGTATAAAACAATACAAGATTAAGTCATGTGAAAGAGAAAATGATGCAATGAAATGTTGTGGTAAACACAAAGTATATGATTTTACAGCAAACCTTTTTTAATAAGTAGAAAGAGTGCACTCTACAAGAATGATAAAAAAAAGTATAGTAAATTCATAAACCAGTAACAGAGTGTCATTTATTATCATTATCAAGTACCATGTACCATACGTAATTGTATGTGCTCACTTTTTTTACGACTGACAGTGCAGGACTGTTTACACCAGCATCTCCACAAACATGTGAGTCATGTGTTGATCTATGACCTTTCAGTGGCTATGAAGTCACCAGGTGATAGGAATTGTTCATCTCCATTATAATCTTATAGAACCACCATGGCATATGTTTATCTGTCCTTGGCCGAAATGTCACCATGTGGCACTTGAGCTACCTAAACAGCTGTGAGCCTCTTACCTTCCATACTTGGGGAGGGGAAAGCAATCATCATTAGCACAGGAAGAAGCATCACTCCATCTACCATTGTACAACTGCGGAGGAAAGAGAGAGATATAAGTAAGACAAAAAAATGTAACTGCAGGATGACAAGTTAAATTAAGCATACCACTTTCAAACTGCCATTCAAGGCCTTTCTTACAAATCCCCCTCACATATGTTGCCTTATTTCTTAGTATATTTAAACACATACCCTTTACATAGATCTAAACAAATTATCTTAAGGAGTTAATCAGATGTACCTCCTGCTGGTGGCCACTCTAAGGTGATTTTCTCTGAGTCTACCCTCTGACAAAGAACTCAACAGGGACAGGAAAAATTCTCAGCTACATAAGGCTAGGCATTCCCAAAGGATCTTAGATTTGAATTTTATCTTACCCTATTGAATGCAGAATTGGTGTTAAATTAAAACCTCTGAGAAGCATGAATAGACTGTTCTTACAGTATGATAAAAATTAGGTTGACTGAAATCATTCTTACAGTATGATAAAGATTAGGTTGACTGAAATCATTCAAATTACTGTGTTGAGCCTTACTTCCCCTTGCTCTTCCTATAGCCCCAAGGGGAAAAAAGCAAACCTACAATGTATCCCTCATCTTCTGGCAAAACAATGCTTTCCTTTATCAACCTCAAATTTAACAGAAGACAGACACAGCCAAGACAGGAAGAAATCATGTAGATGTGTAATATGTAAAACTGTAACTGAGAGAAAATAAGATACCTGATAAAAAATTTCAAGTTGATACTACCCTGACACTACATTGGCAAAAGATCAATGTTATGAGAAAGAAGACTACAAAAGAGAACTTTTCCAGTTGAATAAACTTGAAAAAGTTTCAGGAATATGATGACAGTTTGGTTATATGAGTTCTTTATTACAAGAAATAATTTTTGAAAATTAAACCTTTGTCTAGTTGTAATTTTCTGCATGATAAAAAAAAGAAGAAGAAAATGGGTGAAGTTCTTTAATAAATAGGTTAGTGTGCTATCTCACTCTTACATCTTCAAAGCAAAGAGCAAAAGCCTGCTGCTGTGTAAGCAGTTTAGAGTGGTACCTGATTCATTTTCTTAAGACCAAAATCTGAGGTTGGTAGTCTGGTTGTTCATTCTTCACACCCCCATCCTCTCTTACCAGCCTTCATTCCATTTGTTCAAAATTGTATTTCAACCTATCCCTTCTCTATTAACAAGATGAGGAAGGGGAGTAAAGGAGACATATTTATGTACCTTCCTTTTTTACTAAAAGAACATGAAATTTGAGTGAGCCCCTTTTACTGTTATTATGCCCATGCTCACATAGATCTTGTCTATAGTGAGCCTTTATTTGTAACATACAAACTACTTCATCTTGGCCCTCAGGGCCCTCCCAACCAGATTCCTCCAACACCACATCATGAACATAAACATAGCGTTGGTTCCATCTGCCTCAAATGCCCTAAGCCTGCTCTTCCACCCCTCTCCTACCCAACTGCCTCCTCCTGCATTAATAACCTAGCTCAAAGGACAAACACTTGGTGGAACACCTCTCTCTCAGCAGTGATTTCAACCCCCCAGGGGTCTAACACCACTCCGAATGAATTCATTGTCTATGTCAGTCTCCAGCACTGGACCACGTGTCTCCAAAAGGGTACATGTATCATACAAGACAACTCATTGTCTTGTGGAATTAAGATTCAAAAATATTTACCTTACAGCCCCGGCCGGGTAGATAAATTGGTTAGAGTGTTGTCCCAATACACCAAGGTTGCCGGTTCAATGCCCAGTCAGGGCACATACATGAATCAACCAATGAATATATAAGTGGAACAACAAATCAATGTCTCAATCTCTTCCTTTCTCTCTCTACAATCAATCAATACATTTTAAAGGTATTATCTTATACTAAATGTGTTCACCTAATAGAGCCACAAATAACTTGGGCCTTCATTTGGTCTCTGTCACAATTCCTGATGATAGTCTAGTATAAGAAGTACCTTTCAGAAAGAGTAGGAAATAGAATGTGAAAGTGTGGAGACTACAACCCCTTTTAAGGTTTCATTGAAGTGGAATTACAGCTTGAACTGGCTAGTTACAATAAAATAAGTCCTCCCCCAATGGGATGGGTTTTAAAACATTAAAGAAACTACAGGTTAAATACGTTATTAATCTGTAGAGAAAGGTAAGAAAATGGAAAGCTGATTTCTCCCTTCCAAGTAATTTTTCATTAATCACATTTCTAGAAAAAAAGCAGTTAACATTCAGTTGAATCTGTCATAAAGTTGTCTCCCTTCCTGGCCAGTGTGGCTCCATGGTTGAGCATTGACCCATGAACCAGGAGGTGGTGGCTAGATTCCAGGTCAGGCCACATGCTCAGGTTGTGGGATCAATCCCTGGTAGGGAGCATACAGGAGGCAGCTGACCAATGATTCTCCCTCATCATTGATGTTTCTATCATCTGTCCCTCTCCCTTCCTCTCTCTGAAATCAATAAAACATCTTTTTTAAATGTAAGAAAAAGAAGAATGCCCAATCTCAAAATAAAAAAATACGTAAAAAGTGACTTACATCCAATAAATGTTTATTATAAACAATAAACATTATTCTGAGTGACTTGAGATTTTCATTAATAAGATGTCATCACCATTAGCAGTCCCTTAAATATTTCATCTTTAATCTCTCTAAAATTTTTATTTTATGTATGTTTTAGAATAGTTTTTATTTTACATAAAACTTATAGCCAACATACATATTGAGAATGTATGCTCGATGATAGAGAAACATTGATCAGCTGCCTCCTGCACACCACCTATTGGGGATTTGTCTGCAACCAAGGTACATGCCCTTGACTGGAATTGAACCTGGGACCTTTCAGTCTGCAGCCCGATGCTCCATCTACTGAGCCAAACCAGTTAGGGCCCACCTTTCTTCTTTTCTTTCTTTCTTCCTTCCACAACTAATGAGAGACTAGTGTTTATTAGACTTTAGAAACTTAGAGTAATCTATACATATAAAAGCCTAAGTTACCAAATGACCAAACAACTGTTTCACTAGTCTCTATGATGTGCACTGACCACAAGGGGGGGTGGGCATGCGTGCACAAGGGCAGCCGCTCAATGCAGAAGTGTCCTCCTGGTGGTCAGTGCACTGACCACAGTGGGAGCGTCGCTCAGCTGATTGAGGGGCACCAGACATCGGGCTCACAGCTGGGAGCACAGGTGAGGCAGCAGGAGCCTCTCCGACCTCCAGTCAAGGCTGCAGCATGCTACCAAGCAGCGGTGGCGGAGCCAGGATGAGCGGGAGCAGCATGGAAACCCGCAGAACGACATCCCCTCAGAGGTTCCAGACTGTAAGAGGGTGCAGGCCAAGCTGAGGGACCCCACTGGTGCACGGATGCACTGAGCCTCTAGAAAGATATAAGCTTACTGTCTATGTTGGTAATCAAATAATCATCCAAAAGATTGTATAATTAAAAACTGAATTAAATGTAAAAAATTAAACATGGTTAAACATGAGTGCTAACAAAACAACTGAGAGTTCCTGAAGGGTGGAGGAACTTCCCTAGGTAGGCTATCCTACCTAATAAAGAGTAATATGCAAATTAACCATCACTCTGCTAAACCCACAGGCCACACCCACTATCCATGCCCACCAGCCAATCAGATCGAGTATACAAATTAATCCCAACCAAGATGGCTATAGCCACAGAGAGCAGGAGGGAGGCTTGAGTTTTTCCAGCCATAGAGGAAGCCAATCTTTCCACACACCCTGGCTGGCCTAGGCTTCCACTCAAGATTACAAAGTTTTAATTATAGAAGATAAATCCCAAGAAAAATGGTGCAGCTATGGAGCTAGAGAGAACAGGCTAGGGTTTCCCCCGGCAACAGAGGAAGCCAACCTTTCCACTTGCTCTGGGCAGCCTAGGCCTCCACTCCAGACTACAGAGTTTCAATTGTAGAAGGTAAATAAATTCCAGATACCAGGGCCTCCACTTGGGTTGCTGGAGGCATGGCTGGTCCGCAAACCACCACAGGCCCCTCGCCCAGGCCACCCCATGTCCCGAGGGAACCCCCACCCTGATCCAGGACACCCTTCAGGGCAAACCAGTTAGTCCCCACCCATGCACCAGGCCTCTATCCTATCTAATAAAAGAGTAATATGCAGATTGACCATCACTCCAATACACAAGATGGCTGCACCCATGTAATTAAAGATCCTGCCCCCATGTGGATACAAGATGGCCACCACAAGATGGCCAGTAGGAGAGGGCAGTTGGGAGGGACCAGGCCTGCCCTCTCAGATGCCCTCATTACACTCTCATATACCACTGTGAACTTTCACTCACTGCATTTATCATAATTAATAATTTCTTGTTCATACCTGTGTGCTTTTGGATATCTGCTTGCCTCCCTAGACTGTAAACTTGGTGGTAGCAAAATCTACCGTCTATTTTGTTCATTGCTACCAGAGCCAAGGAGATGCACATTTAATACTTGTTGAATCTAAATTTCCTCTAAATTAATTAGCTCAATTTAAGTTTAAATTCTAAAGACATAGCAATCTCTTCCAGCCCTTTCCTATGGCACACAGGCACATACACACCTGCAAAGAAGTGGTGGGATGAAGACATTCACCATCCCTCTAACATTAATCTGTAAAATTTGTTCAGGTAATAGTAAAAGTTATAAGTTAACAAGCTTCAAATTTTAAAACCAAGAATCCTTTCACTATTAAAAAAAATCTAAAAGACAATCACCATTGGCACTTTTTCCTATGACAAAGCCAAGAAAAACCCATGCCTCAAAATATCCCTTAACAGATCATAATTGTACAAGCAAAACTAAAATATTAATTTAGGCTCATAAGTATAAAACAGGAAAAAAAAAGAAAAAGAGGAAAAAAAAGGAGTTAGAAAATCAGTCCCCAAGCTAATCTACTGTTTATAGACAGAAAGCTCAAAATCTGCCAAAAATCTCTGGGGAAGAAACATCAGCATCACTTCCTGGTTGCCATTTTGCTGTGTCTGGAGTGTCTGTGCTGCTCAGTTCATTCAGCTATT